ACTGTTTTATAACATTATCATGTGCTTCAGTCAGAATGAAACATACTGTTTTATAACATTATCATGTGCTTCAGTCAGAATGAAACATACTGTTTTATAACATTATCATGTGCTTCAGTCAGAATGAAACATACTGTTTTATAACATTATCATGTGCTTCAGTCAGAATGAAACATACTGTTTTATAACATTATCATGTGCTTCAGTCAGAATGAAACATACTGTTTTATAACATTATCATGTGCTTCAGTCAGAATGAAACATACTGTTTTATAACATTATCATGTGCTTCAGTCAGAATGAAACATACTGTTTTATAACATTATCATGTGCTTCAGTCAGAATGAAACATACTGTTTTATCACATTATCATTTGCTTCAGTCAGAATGAAACATACTGTTTTATAACATTATCATGTGCTTCAGTCAGAATGAAACATACTGTTTTATAACATTATCATGTGCTTCAGTCAGAATGAAACATACTGTTTTATAACATTATCATGTGCTTCAGTCAGAATGAAACATACTGTTTTATAACATTATCATGAGCTTCAGTCAGAATGAAATATACTGTTTTATAACATTATCATGTGCTTCAGTCAGAATGAAATATACTGTGTTAAAAATGTTATTACAAAATATATACAGTATATTAATTCTCAGGGTTCACAGTCTGGAAGTCACTCATTCGCAGCCCTTCCTCCCCCAGACGAATAAACAAAGCCCACCCTAGCCCCCTGTTGTTTCGGTCATCACCTCATTTGACATGCAAATGTTAGCAACCCAAGTAGCGGGTTAGCTCCTCTTCTCTAAACTAGCCCCAAATTTGGCTGGGCGTTCTAGTGTTAAGATGTGCGAGGCGAGCCTGGCCTGACTGCGCTCTCCTCCTCCTAAAAAAAGATTAGAACGCAACATTTAGTTAATAATGTGTGTATAAAAATAAAAAATATTGAAATTATGACTTTAAACAAAAAGTAGTCTTCTGTTCTCTAGATGTTACAGACAAGGCCCGCATCCTCCACCACCTGAAGAAGATGACAAAGTCTGGGATCGCGTCTTAAATTCAGACAGAAGACATGTTTTATTGTCGATGGTAGAGACAGCACGAACAACAGAATGCAAGTGTATTATACAGAGCGGAGGCATGGAGACCTCCAATCAGCAGCTGCCACGGTGCCATGTAGCTTGGCCTTCAGCTAGACAAAACAAGGGAAAAGTACTGGCTTCTGCACATTGATAGAATGATGAGTTTAACTTTAACAAAAGTTGCTTCAAAGTGTTATGAAATCTCACATTCCCCCCCTCTGGTCATACATTCACGTGTGACCATCAGGATCGATAAACAGCAACATAACATCATAACTCAATACTTTAAAAACTCAAACTCTGTACTTCACTCGGTACTTCAAAAAACTCAGAACTCGGAATACTTCAAAAACTCAGAAAACTCATAAAACATGTTTAGATCTTTCATAAAACTTGTCAACAATCTTCAGTAAAATACCAAACTTCATCAGTCGATGGTTCTCAGATATTGCTTTGAAAACAGTCTCTCCCACTTCTCCGTGTTGGTTTCTTCAGCTGCATTTGTGTCGAGCCATGAATTCTTCTGTGACGTGTCTTTCAATCACACGTTTCAGCTTCAGTGTCCAGATTCAGAAATCCAGATTCAGTCCAAATTATGTCCAAATTCAGAAATCCAATTGTTCCAAATTATGTCCATGCAAAAGAGGACGCTGGTGTTGTCCATGTCTCAGCAGCTCACAGCCTGACTGGAATCAGGGGCTGTGCTGCAGATTGTACAAGTGCTGATCCAGATGCATTCTCTTGAGGTTTCTCAATTTTGGCTTGAAAAAAAAAACACATTTTTGTGTAAAAAAAAAAAGTCTTCTGTTCACTAGATGTTACAGACAAGGCCCGCATCCTTTCACCACCTGAAGAAGATGACATAGTCTGGGATCGCGTCTTTCATTCAGACAGAAGACATGTTTTATTGTCGATGGTAGAGACAGCACGAACACAGATACAACAGAATGCAAGTGTATTATACAGAGCGTTGGCATGGAGACCTCCAATCAGCAGCTGCCACAGTGCCATGTAGCTTGGCCTTCAGATAGACACAACAAGGGAAAAGTACAGGCTTCTGCACATTGATAGAATGATGAGTTTAACTTTAACAAAAGTTGCTTAATACTAGTATAAGTTTTTACAGACTTGAAATTTCCTGTAACTTGAATTTAAACACTTAGTTGGCAGAACTTGGAAAACTTAACTGACACAACTTAATAAGTGTAGTTCTTCAAAACTTGAAGAATTAAGTTAATGCCTTCAACTCAAGAATCCTTCGCAGCTGGTTGCTTTGAAATTTTGAGTTGAACTAACTTTTTCTTTTTTACAGTGTGCATGGACCAGAAGTCCAATTAAAATAATGGACAATTGCTCCTGCAGCGACTACAGTATATGGCACTGCATGAAAAGTTAGATTTTCGTCACCCTAAACGGCAGGAAATCACGCTCCTTTTCATGCTAATGTCCCTACTTTGCATATGAATGCAGCGAAACACCAGTGATGGGCAGTAGCGACGCTGCTACTAGCTTAACTACATTTTTCAGTAGCCATCTGCACCAGGAGCAGAGAGCCGGCTGCAGCCACAGGGAACGACACAGGACCCAGAGGAGAGAGGGGCCCCAGACCCCACCAGGCCCAGGACTCAGACCCCATAGGACCCAGAGGAGAGAGGGGCCCTAGACCCCACCAGGCCCAGGGCTCAGACCCCATAGGACCCAGAGGAGAGAGGGGCCCCAGACCCCCACCGGATCCAAGAGCCACACCCCGGAGGCCCCGGCAGACCCCAGCTCTCAGTGCAGAGGGCTCCTCCAGAGGAAACACTGGGGACACTAAAACAATACAATAATACAATAGAAAGTAGAACAATAAAATGTGACAATAAAAAGAAAAATGGCAGCTGCCTAATATTGATAATAACAATAGTAAATGGGTAGATACAATAAATAATTAAAAATAGTAAATGATAAAAATAAATACGAATAGAATGTGTCTAAAAACATAAATAGATGTACTAAAAAGCAATAATAAATAATAAATACTAATCAAAAGCTACTCTAAAAATGTGCGTCTTGAGCCTACTCTTAAATATATGAACGTTCTCTGTGGCCTTGAGCTCCTCCTCAGACTGTTCCAGAGGGCTCCTGTTTTAAGAAGTTTATATTTTGCTCTGCAATGCATTCTGGGTAGCATCACTGCTTCACCACATTTTGTTTTCAATCAACACATATTTGTTTTGTCATTAATGGACCAACAAGCTTACAGCAGAAGTATTTTCACTTAATGCAATAAAATCAGTATTGTACAGGGTGCTATGATAATATTATACAGTACTTATTTGTCAACCAAAAATATAAAACAGTGGAAAATGAAGTATATAGTATTTACTTAAATATTTTACATCAAGGTTTGGTCTGATTCACTATAACAATGTAGAGTTTGCTTTCTGCTCTCCCTGTATAACTGTATACAGAGCGGTGAGAAGGCACAGGTCCCGTGCTCGCGGTGTAAAAGCACAGGTGTAAAAGCACAGGTGTAAAAGCACAGGTGTAAAAGCACAGGATGGCGCTGAGGCAGGAAGTGACCGTAGCCATGAGGTGAAAAACTGAACTGCGCATATCGTAAAAGCTTACTCAAGTAATTCCCGCATCAATTTGTTTATTAACTTAAGTAAAGTACTGACTTCACAGACACCTTTCAAGTATTGTCTGATGCAGAAATACCATAGATGATACACACCAATACTTATGAAATGAAATTCAACTATGTCATTTAAAAGTTAGATTTTGACATGAATTGTAAAGGTTACTAATAGTGTGTGGGTGAACAGTAAACTTGGAGAAAAATCAAGTAAAGTATGATCAATAATTTTAGGTGAGGCGGATATAAGGATTTACAGTGTGTGGGCCTCACAGCAGAGGCCTAAAGCAGGGGCCTCATTACTTTAATACTTACATCCATCCATCCATCCATTTTCTTCCCCTTAATCCATTTCTGGGTCGGGGGGTGGCAGTCAGAGCTGCACCCAGTCCACAGAGCACCAGCCCCTCACTGATCCTCCTGCAGGTGGTGAGTCCACAGGAGCTGAGATCTCTCAGTGGGAGCTTCAGGCAAAGTGGGGATAAGTGTCTTGCCCAAGGACACAACGACAGCAGTCATCAGTGGGAGTCGTGAAGTAGGTCTTATGGTGTCGTGAAGTAGGTCTTATGGCTTGAACCCACGACCTTCAGGCCCAAAGGCCAATGCTCTACCAACTGAGCCACTGTCGCCCCCACAGTTAATACTTACAGTCTGTGGTAAATACACGGGCTACATGTGGTACACGTGCTTAGACTATATTAATATTGTATGTGTAACATTCAAAATAGATTGAGTGAATATTCCCTTTTCCTCATTTAGTGATTTGCGGAGGAGAGAGCAGCGAGAGAAGTTTGGCAGTTGAAATAAATGAATTACAGCTTGCTAAATTATTTTAAAGCATCTTCATTATGATTGTTATATTTATGTATTTATTATAAATGTTAGAGATGCCAGAGAGACACCAGAGTGCCAGAGTGGGAGGAGACACCAGCGGAGCTCTTTGAGTCAGATAACGTTCAGCGTTATATTACCAATAGTTTCTCTTTCCATAACGATATTCTCTCTTTTTGGAAAGATCACCAACGTGATGCAAAAGTTTACGTTATATGCAGTAGTTTTAATGTCTGCGGGTTATTCCAGAGACTGGCCTGCTACAAGGAGTTGCCCGTTTTAACCAGATTGTCGATGTGCGCGGGGCAGAAACTCGCCAATGTAACCCTGCTCACAAGTGCCACCTGGTGGTTGTTTTGGTCATTGCAACGTCACTGGGAGGGGGGAAAATAAAAGACGCGTGAATCACACGTGAGTCTCGTGTGATTCACGCGTGAAAGGCGACAAAACGGAATGGGACCTACTGTAGGGTTAGCCTGGCATACACCACAGCCCTGGCATACACCACAGCCCTGGCATATACCACAGCCCTGGCATACACCACAGCCCTGGCATATACCACAGCCCTGGCATACACCACAGCAGCACCACAGCCCTGGCATATACCACAGCCCTGGCATACACCACAGCAGCACCACAGCCCTGGCATACACCACAGCCCTGGCATACACCACAGCAGCACCACAGCCCTGGCATACACCACAGCAGCACCACACAGCCCTGGCATACACCACAGCAGCACCACAGCCCTGGCATACACCACAGCCCTGGCATACACCACAGCAGCACCACAGCCCTGGCATATACCACAGCCCTGGCATACACCACAGCAGCACCACAGCCCTGGCATATACCACAGCCCTGGCATACACCACAGCAGCACCACAGCCCTGGCATACACCACAGCCCTGGCATACACCACAGCAGCACCACAGCCCTGGCATACACCACAGCCCTGGCATACACCACAGCCCTGGCATACACCACAGCCCTGGCATACACCACAGCCCTGGCATACACCACAGCAGCACCACAGCCCTGGCATACACAACAGCCCTGGCATACACCACAGCCCTGGCATACACCACAGCAGCACCACAGCCCTGGCATACACCACAGCAGCACCACAGCCCTGGCATACACCACAGCAGCACCACAGCCCTGGTAGAGACGGCATTCTGGGAGAATCGCAGCTTCAGTCATGCAGCAGTGTTTGCCACAAGTTTAAAAACACCTGCCTTCGGTGTTGTTTGTCGTGTGTGCTACCCTTGCAACTCTGTGGCTGTGTCCAAAACGGTAGGCATCGGGCCGCGTAGGGTGGATATGTAGGCATCGTGACGTCACTTCCTCAAGCGACGGCTATTGCAGGGGTGTCCAAAACCACTTGGCGAGCTCGCCAAGCGTAGGCATCATGACTTTGTCTCTATGGAAACGGCCACTTTTGGAGCAGATATGAAGGATGCATCTGATGTATGCTTCGTTGCCTTCTTTTTACCAAGTCACGGCCGCGCATGCGCAGAACTCCGTTCTGCATTAACATGTAAACAACAGCTCGGAGCTGCTGGAGCTAACATTATGGTAAGCACTATACTTTACTGTGAAGTTATGTCTATAGTAAGTACTGCTATACTTTACTGTGAAGTTATGTCTATAGTAAGTACTGCTATACTTTACTGTGAAGTTATGTCTATAGTAAGTACTGCTATACTTTACTGTGAAGTTATGTCTATAGTAAGTACTGCTATACTTTACTGTGAAGTTATGTCTATAGTAAGTACTGCTATACTTTACTGTGAAGTTATGTCTATAGTAAGTACTGCTATACTTTACTGTGAAGTTATGTCTGTAGTAAGTACTGCTATACTTTACTGTGAAGTTATGTCTATAGTAAGTACTGCTATACTTTACTGTGAAGTTATGTCTATAGTAAGTACTGCTATACTTTACTGTGAAGTTATGTCTATAGTAAGCACTGCTATACTTTACTGTGAAGTTATGTCTATAGTAAGTACTGCTATACTTTACTGTTGAGTTATGAACACGACTGTTATGATAAAACACAGACATAAGTTAGATCTGCCACAGATGTGTGTATTTAACCTTGTTATCTGCTGTAAATAAGCTCAGTCCCGAAAAGCTAATGCTACGAGGCTAGTTCATTCAGATTCGGTTTTTGAACAAGAAAAATCATGTTGTGTTTTATCTTTTAGGGAGAAACAAACCCGCTGATTAAATATTAAAGCTACACTGAGGAAAGAGTCATGTTTTCATGGAAAATCACTCTGCAGCACAGCAGCTATAGTATGCTAACACATGTTTTCTGTATTTATATAAAATAGATTGTGCATATCGTTTTTAATCCCATACTGAGACTGGGAAAACTGTATATATTAGACATATGAAATTATAGAATAGGCCAAGAATAATTATAAAGCCCTTTTCATACAATAGTCTAATAAATAGTAAACACACATTATACAGAGGTTTCGTTTGTCATGAATAAGACATTTGCAGAGGACAAAGTCCCACTTCCACAAACACAGGTTTAAAGTGGTTAGCCATGCTCATAACGTGATTATTTGTGTATATTTCTATCATATCATTCTTCTGTTTCCCGCTGTGAAGCTTGTATCTCTAATATTAAATACTGTAAGGATTTCTGTATTTTATTTTTAACCAGTTTTTTGCAAAGCCCCAAATAAATAGTATTAATTGAATATGAAGTGTAAAAAGAATCCTAAATGTGGGCTGTGTTTTAATGCATGATGTTTGTGTTCTTCTTTTTCAGAGACTTGTGGTGAAATTAAGGTCATAATTTCTCCAGCTTCACCTCCATCACCTCCTGCTTCACCTCCATCACCTCCATCACCTCCATCACCTCCTGCTTCACCTCCATCACCTCCTGCTTCACCTCCATCACCTCCTGCTTCACCTCCATCACCTCCTGCTTCACCTCCATCACCTCCTGCTTCACCTCCATCACCTCCTGCTTCACCTCCATCACCTCCATCACCTCCTGCTTCACCTCCATCACCTCCTGCTTCACCTCCTTCACCTCCATCACCTCCTGCTTCACCTCCATCACCTCCTGCTTCACTGCTGAAAACATTATGAACTACAACAAACTTGTATATAATATTTTCCTTTAATCAGCAGTCATGAATAGTTAGAACAGTGGGCTCTGCATCTCTGAAGACATGTAGCAGAAGGAGCAGCAGCAGAAGGAGCAACAGGAGGAGCAACAGCAGCAGAAGGAGCAACAGGAGGCGTAACAGCTGCAGCAGAAGGAGCAACAGGAGGAGTAACAGCTGCAGCAGAAGGAGCAACAGGAGGAGTAACAGCTGCAGCAGAAGGAGCAACAGGAGGAGTAACAGCAGCAGCAGAAGGAGCAACAGGAGGAGTAACAGCAGCAGCAAAAGGAGCAACAGGAGGAGTAACAGCAGCAGCAGAAGGAGCAACAGCAGCAGCAGGAGCAACAGCAGCAGAAGGAGCAACAGCAGCAGGAGCAACAGCAGCAGGAGCAACAGCAGCAGAAGGAGCAACAGCAGCAGGAGCAACAGCAGCAGGAGCAGCAGGAGCAACAGCAGCAGGAGCAGCAGCAGGAGCAGCAGGAGCAACAGCAGCAGCAGCAGCAGCAGCAGCAGCAGCAACAGCAGCAGGAGCAGCAGCAGCAGGAGCAGCAGCAGCAGCAGCAGGAGCAACAGCAGCAGCAGCAGCAGCAGCAGCAGCAGGAGCAACAGCAGCAGCAGCAGGAGCAACAGCAGCAGCAGCAGCAGCAACAGCAGCAGGAGCAACAGCAGCAACAGCAGCAGCAGCAGCAGCAGCAGCAGCAGCAGCAGCAGCAACAGCAGCAGGAGCAACAGCAGCAGGAGCAACAGCAGCAACAGCAGCAGGAGCAGCAGCAGGAGCAGCAGCAGCAGGAGCAGCAGCAGAGTCCTGGGCGTCTGCCTCTGACACAGGTCTCATCGACAGCACTTCACAGAGAACCTGGAAATAAAGAAAACAAAAATCAAACTTGTTTTATTATGATTTTGTTGTTTGTGTGAAATGTAAAGAGTCAAAGTGAGGTATTATTTACACAACTACATATTTGTCAGCAGTACTTATACTTATACTTATAATTGAATACATTAAACTCAAATGTGATTAGTAACTTTCTGTTTGCTTTTCAAGAGATATAAAAGTGAATAAGAGCAGTGTCAAACATCTGTGTTCAACTTCATTTTACAGATGTCTGTTAATGTTTCCATGTGTCAGTTATTATTATAGATCCATGGATGTGTCAGTTATTATTATAGATCCATGGATGTGTCAGTTATTATTATAGATCCATGGATGTGTCAGTTATTATTATAGATCCATGGATGTGTCAGTTATTATTATAGATCCATGGATGTGTCAGTTATTATTATAGATCCATGGATGTGTCAGTTATTATTATAGATCCATGGATGTGTCAGTTATTATTATAGATCCATGGATGTGTCAGTTATTATTATAGATCCATGGATGTGTCAGTTATTATTATAGATCCATGGATGTGTCAGTTATTATTATAGATCCATGGATGTGTCAGTTATTATTATAGATCCATGGATGTGTCAGTTATTATTATAGATCCATGGATGTGTCAGTTATTATTATAGATCCATGGATGTGTCAGTTATTATCATAGATCCATGGATGTGTCAGTTATTATTATAGATCCATGGATGTGTCAGTTATTATTATAGATCCATGGATGTGTCAGTTATTATTATAGATCCATGGATGTGTCAGTTATTATTATAGATCCATGGATGTGTCAGTTATTATTATAGATCCATGGATGTGTCAGTTATTATTATAGATCCATGGATGTGTCAGTTATTATTATAGATAAATGGATGTGTCAGTTATTATTATAGATAAATGGATGTGTCAGTTATTATTATAGATAAATGGATGTGTCAGTTATTATTATAGATAAATGGATGTGTCAGTTATTATTATAGATAAATTGATGTTTCTCTCTCATCAGCAAACACACGTTAATACATTTAGGTCTGATAAAATTACTTTTAAGTGATGCACAAACGAGGGCCATAGCAAATATATAATCCATATCTAATAATCATTTATTGCATATATGTGCATTGTTTACATAAAATATAACTTTGTAAAAACTAATGATTACTGTCAATACTGTTGTTATAACAGAGAAAGTGTAACAACAAAAGCATCCTCTGTTTTCTCAGAATACGATTGTAAACATCCAGGGGGCTCTCATTACCTGAACCCGTGTTTAGACAGCCTGTTCTGGGCTTCAGCACTGCAGCTAACTGGGCTGTTAGCTTATAGCACCGGAGCTTCAGGCTGGAGGTAAAGTCCGAACATTTTCGAATTTATCTCCAAACAGACTTCTGATATGACAATAAAGGGGGATATTTCTCGCCTCAAATGATATTAGAATTAACTTTTATGTCCTAATTAAAGCGTATTTAGAACTTTTTACCGTCCATCATGGCCGCCGTGTCCTTCCGCTCCGCTCTGAGTTGTGTAACGTGACGAAGGCAGAAGGCAGCTGCTGTCCAAATCCACCTCACGTCTCGCCTCCTACCTCGCCTCCTACCTCGCCTGTGGCTACGCGGCCTTCCCTCGATGCCTACATATCCACCCTACGCGGCCCGATGCCTACCGTTTTGGACACAGCCTGTGTCTGTTGAACAAACAAAATGGGGACATCACCAAAAAGCACAACCATTGAATGGTCAGACAGTGTGGATTCATCGTGAACCCCTGTTTTCCTGAGATCGGAGCCTCTCCTGACGGGCTCACAATGTGTGACTGTTGCGGAAAAGGATGTCTAGAGATCAAGTGTCCTTCAAATATAGAAAGAACAGCATCCAGGAGGCGTCAGATGCAAAGGACAAAGACTTCTGCTTAACTTCTAATCAACTTATTTAAAGAAGTCCCGTCCTATTACACACAGGTACAACACAAATCTATGTGACAAGCTCCAACCACTGAGACCCTGTAGTGTGGACCCTGAGACCCTGTAGTGTGGACCCTGAGACCCTGTAGTGTGGACCCTGAGACCCTGTAGTGTGGACCCTGAGACCCTGTAGTGTGGACCCTGAGACCCTGTAGTGTGGACCCTGAGACCCTGTAGTGTGGACCCTGAGACCCTGTAGTGTGGACCCTGAGACCCTGTAGTGTGGACCCTGAGACCCTGTAGTGTGGACCCAGAGACCCTGTAGTGTGGACCCTGAGACCCTGTAGTGTGGACCCTGAGACCCTGTAGTGTGGACCCTGAGACCCTGTAGTGTGGACCCTGAGACCCTGTAGTGTGGACCCTGAGACCCTGTAGTGTGGACCCTGAGACCCTGTAGTGTGGACCCTGAGACCCTGTAGTGTGGACCCTGAGACCCTGTAGTGTGGACCCTGAGACCCTGTAGTGTGGACCCTGAGACCCTGTAGTGTGGACCCTGAGACCCTGTAGTGTGGACCCTGAGACCCTGTAGTGTGGACCCTGAGACCCTGTAGTGTGGACCCTGAGACCCTGTAGTGTGGACCCTGAGACCCTGTAGTGTGGACCCTGAGACCCTGTAGTGTGGACCCTGAGACCCTGTAGTGTGGACCCAGAGACCCTGTAGTGTGGACCCTGAGACCCTGTAGTGTGGACCCTGAGACCCTGTAGTGTGGACCCTGAGACCCTGTACTGTGGACCCTGAGACCCTGTAGTCAGAGTGTCCATCTGTCAGTAGATCACAGATGGTTCAGTAGATCACAGATTGTTCAGTAGATCACACATGGTTTAGATCACAGATGGTTCAGTAGATCACACATGGTTTAGATCACAGATGGTTCAGTAGATCACAGATGGTTCAGTGGATCACAGATTGTTCAGTAGATCACACATGGTTTAGATCACAGATGGTTCAGTAGATCACAGATGGTTCAGTAGATCACAGATTGTTCAGTAGATCACACATGGTTTAGATCACAGATGGTTCAGTAGATCACACATGGTTTAGATCACAGATGGTTCAGAAGATCACAGATGGTTCAGTAGATCACAGATTGTTCAGTAGATCACACATGGTTTAGATCACAGATGGTTCAGTAGATCACACATGGTTTAGATCACAGATGGTTCAGTAGATCACACATGGTTTAGATCACAGATGGTTCAGTAGATCACAGATTGTTCAGTAGATCACACATGGTTTAGATCACAGATGGTTCAGTAGATCACACATGGTTTAGATCACAGATGGTTCAGTAGATCACAGATGGTTCAGTAGATCACAGATTGTTCAGTAGATCACACATGGTTTAGATCACAGATGGTTCAGTAGATCACAGATGGTTCAGTAGATCACAGATTGTTCAGTAGATCACACATGGTTTAGATCACAGATGGTTCAGTAGATCACACATGGTTTAGATCACAGATGGTTCAGAAGATCACAGATGGTTCAGTAGATCACAGATTGTTCAGTAGATCACACATGGTTTAGATCACAGATGGTTCAGTAGATCACACATGGTTTAGATCACAGATGGTTCAGTAGATCACACATGGTTTAGATCACAGATGGTTTAGATCACACATGGTTTAGATCACAGATGGTTCAGTAGATCACACATGGTTTAGATCACAGATGGTTCAGTAGATCACAGATTGTTCAGTAGATCACACATGGTTTAGATCACAGATGGTTCAGTAGATCACACATGGTTTAGATCACAGATGGTTTAGATCACACATGGTTTAGATCACAGATGGTTCAGTAGATCACACATGGTTTAGATCACAGATGGTTCAGTAGATCACACATGGTTTAGATCACAGATGGTTTAGATCACAGATGGTTTAGATCACACATGGTTTAGATCACAGATGGTTCAGTAGATCACAGATGGTTCAGTAGATCACACATGGTTTAGATCAGAGATGGTTCAGTAGATCACAGATTGTTCAGTAGATCACACATGGTTTAGATCACAGATGGTTTAGATCACAGATGGTTTAGATCACACATGGTTTAGATCACAGATGGTTCAGTAGATCACACATGGTTTAGATCACAGATGGTT